ACTGGCCTTTGGCCCAGCAGTCCTGCCTCTAAGGTTCTGCCCCAAGGCCACAATGGCAACAGGGTGAGAAATATACAGCAGCTGGGCCCTTGGTTGCCCTGCTCCCTGCAGTGGGGTCTGCAACAATTCTCAGGACCCTAACATTTACCTTTGTTACTCTTGGGTTTTTTTTTTTTTAATTTTTTAAACTTCATTTATTTTTGAGAGACAGAGACAGGGCATGAATGGAGGAGGGGCAGAGAGAGAAGGAGACACAGAATCCAAAGCAGGCTCCAGGCTCTGAGCTGTCAGCACAGAGCCCCATGCGGGGCTCAAATCCGCAGAACCGAGAGATCATGATTTGAGCCAGATGACTGAAGTCGGATGCTTAACTGATGGAGCCACCCAGGCACCCCTAAATATGTTTTTATAGAGGTACTTATAAAGCTGACACATAGCCAAGGGACACAATTGAAAAATACTAAAGAATATTAAAAAGCCAAAATGTACAAATAACCGCCTTACTCTAAATAATTCACTGTTCAATGCCAATTCGTTTTCTGGCAATCCATTTCTATGTGAAACAATGAATGACAAAGAGAAAGCACGTTTTCTCCAAGTAGCTGGCAGCATCATTTCTTGCAAAGACTGCTTTGCACATTGAATCGTCTCGGCAGCCTTGCCCAATATCAAGTCACCAAAGGTGGATCTGCATGGATTCCACTCAATGATGGTTACCCGGATGCCAGCACCGCCCCACCTTGACCACTGCGGCTTTGTGGCAAATTCTGAATCACGAAGTGTGAGTTTCCCATCAGTCTGTCACCATTAAGTATGGTATTAGCTGTGGGTTTTCATAGATGGCCTATACCAGCCTGAAGAAGTTCCCTTGTACCTCAGTTGTTGAGTGTTTTTAGGATGAAACGGTGCTGGATTTTGCTAGATGCTTTTTCTGCCTCTGTTGAGCTGATGGTACGGTTTGTATCCTTTATTCTATTCATATGGTGTATTACAGTGGTTTCCTTTTTTTAAATTAATTGTTTTTCATTCCTTTTTTTCAATGTTTTTTATTTATTTATGAGAGAGAGAGAGGCAGTGTGAGCAGGAGAGGGTCAGAGAGAGAGGGAGATATAGAATCCAAAGCAGTCTCCAGGCTCTGAGCTAGCTGTCAGCACAGGGTCTGACGAGGAGCTCAAACCAACGAACCGAACCGTGAGATCATGACCTGAGCCGAAGTCAGCCGCTTAACCGACTGAGCCACCTAGGTGACCCTTACAGTGATTTCCTATGTTGAGCCAACCTTGCATTCCCAGGGTAAATCCCACTTGGGGTTGGTGTATCACCTTTTTTTACATGGCGCTGAGTTTATTTTCTCTAGTTGAGACATTTGTTTCTGTATTTATAAGGGGGATTGGTTCTGTGGGGTTCCCCCCCCCGAGAATGTCTCTAACTTTACTTAAAAACTTCATTTTTACTTAAAAAGTAGAAAATCCCAATAGGCCTAGGACAAGTAAAGAAAGTTAATTAGTACTTAAAAATCTTCCTAACAAAGGGGGTGTCTGGGTGGCTCAGTTGGTTAACTGTCTGACTTGATCTCAGGTCAGGATGTCACAGTCCGTGGGTTCAAGGCCTGAGTTGGGCTCTGTGCTGACAGCTCAGAGCCTGGAGCCTGCTTCACATTCTGTGTCTCTCTGTCCCTGCCCCGCTCACAATCTCTCTCAAAAATAAATAAACATTGGGGCGCCTGGGTGGCTTAGTCGGTTAAGCGTCCGACTTTCGCTTAGGTCGTGATCTCGCGGTTCGTGGGTTCGAGCCCCGCGTCGGGCTCTGTGCTGACTGCCAGCTCAGAGCCTGGAGCCTGTTTCAGTCTGTGACTCCCTCTCTCTCTGACCCTCCCCTGCTCCGCTGTCTCTCTCTCTCTCTCTCCTATAAATAAATAAAA